CTTGACAAACCTATTTTCCTGGGAAATTGTTTTAAGAGAAAGATTTTAGAAATTTCAACCGACAACAGTATTGGCTGCTCAGTCAATGAATGCCAAATGTTTCCTTATAGGGAAACGGCTAATATTACCATTAGCATTACACTCCAAATATTTTTCAATATAATTTCTTTTTTATATAATACTCTTAATTCCATGGTAAACATTAATCATACCAATCGAATATTGGTGAAGATTTCATATTAAAATTTAACTAATAGCTATATTTCGCTGCAGACTTATTGATTTACTGTTGTAAAGATAAGTAAAAAAGAGGAAAGGAATCGGGTTTATAAGAAAATAGGCTTATTAACCAGAAGAATGTATTTGTTCATCCTTTGATTGAAACACATTTCAATAAGTAAATAACGAAGAAATATAGCAGTGAAACAGTATTCGAGTAAACACTGACTAATCGAAATTAGTACATTCATAATTGTTTTACTAGACTAATTTAGTAATGTCAAATAAAAGCATTTCAAAATTACACTCATATTCAGAGACCTTAAAACGATTATTTGGTTACTTATTTTACTGCATCATCTTACTTATAATTATTTTCACGTGACGCAAACATTAGCTAGTGCAATGTTTAAACAAATTATACGTAAATAATTAACAGGGGCATTTTATACCCACTTAGAATATTGCCAAATTTTAGTCTCTTCTCCATAGCAATAATATAAAAGTTTGTTCTAAACATGCATGAAAATACTATATAAACTACATACACACACCCGCGCGTACAAGCAGACACACACGGACGCTCACGCACACAAACACACACACACAAGCATACAACACAAAAAAGAACTGAACTTTCTACATAGACATACTTTTGAACCTTCCGTTCTATGTATAATAATATTTAGTAACTATTTTTTCTGTTGGCATTCAAAAACCATAACATAGTAATTAGTTTTATTGAGTTATAAATGTCTGTTTAAAAAGATTAATATTCACCTTATTGAACAAGTTTTTTTTTATTGTTTTGTACCACTATTTCCTGATATCTTTCAAGAATAAGTAATGGTTAGTAAACTAGTACGGATTGCCCATTATTAGTAAATAGTTTTTGCCAGATTAAAGATAAGCTTATTAATTAAAGCATTCATGATTATATTCCCAAAGAGAATTCTGTAAAGACGTAAATAATTGGTATATAGCAAGCAAGTAAATCTCAACCAAGATATAACAAGTTCCGCTTCATCAACAAAGAAACGTGTAATTCTGGTAATAAAGGGTGTTTCATTAAGACGGATCAAAGTCAACAATAAATAAATCAGTTTTGTTGGTGAAAATTTATTTATTTCTCTATTGGATCATGTTATTGAAGTCATGACAATTATGTGTGAAAAATAGTATCGCCTAAATGTCCGCCAAGGCTTCGGAGGCATACCTCCACTCGATGGTTAAAAGTTTTGATGACGTTTCTGCATAATTGTTCCTTGATCTCGCCAATATACCTTATTATCTCATCTTTCAGCTGTTGAATTGTTGTTCGCTTGTAGGATAGACATTCATTTTGAGATGACCCCTAAAGTAAGAAATCTAAAGGCGTCAAGTCACACAATCATGGTGGCCAATTGACTGTTTTGAGAGATGATGTCACCTGGGAACTTCTCATTGCATTTCGGTTAGAACATCCATTTTCGTAATAGGCTTCCACGACTTTAACGCGGTGTTTGATTGTTAATCTTTCTGTCGTTGAAATTGCCAAAGACTTAAGATATTAAATCTGAAAGAAAAAGAAAAAAAAACTCATTAGACGCTTAAATCTAATTCACATTTAAAATAGGTTCAACTTATTGGAACAGCCTTTTAAGTCTTTTCTCTTAACTTTCAGAACGTATTTAATCAATTACTCTTTTAGTTACTCTAAGTGAAAGCAATGTTTATTCCATCAGTCGTTTTCATCATTAGAAGCAGTTAATATTAGAAGACTCCTTTTCGATCCTACCGTATGCACACTACTTCTTTTTTAAAATAAAAATAACCTTTGGTAAGAGTACTTTTAGTTAATTTCGCTTGTATTACCATAATTAGGTTCTTCTAAAGTATTACCTTTTCATCGCCCGCTTTTGAATAAGTTCCGGCAGGATCATTTTCGCTTAACTTATTTATCAAAGTGACTAACATAATCAAGTTTGTGTAAGTGATTTTCATCGATTAATTTGAATATTTTGTATATGACGGCTATCGTATGACGTTGATTATTCTTAAGTATTGTTTTTGTTTGGTTAATATCGATCTCAACCGATTTACTCCTACATGAAGCATCATGCAGCAAAAAATCAACACCTGTGATATGTTTATAATTCACAGTGATTTCCCCCTAACCTGTGAGATTATTTTCTGCTTTTGTGTACCATTTTACCTATTCTTAAATTAAAAAAGGCATATAGAAAAACTGTTCCTTATTTTTACTGTATTACATTGCTTGCTTTAACCGTTACACATTATGTTACTTTGGAATGATTCAAACTGAGCTCTGTAAAAATCGTCAAGTCTCAAGAGAATTGTCCACTGCTTTGACAGCAACTGGCTTTTGATAT